CACCAGGGACTATTTGTGTGGTTGTTTTAACCCTGCCTCCTCAGTATAATTGAGAATTTCTGAAGACTGTTCCTGGGGCAGATATGCCCTGTGTCCACCAGGTGGCAGTATTCTAGCACTGAGTCGATTCTACCCAGAAGGGCACAGTGGGGAGGTCCAATCATATTGAATGATACATGTGAATTTAAAAAGCACTTTACAGGCATCATTTCATTTAATCCTATCAGCAACCCTATGAGATGAGGCATGTAAGGATTGGCAGCCCCATTTTACTGGGTGAAGAAAGTGAGGTCCAATGGTCCTCGGTTGAAATTGAGAGTCAGTTCTCATGAAAAGGTCAAGATCACAGAATCCAGGAGTTGGAGGGAACCTCAAGGACCATGCAGTTCAACCTATGATTAACAAAGAACCTTATCCACTATTTTGCTCAAAAAGAGCCAGAAAAGAGTGAAAATGAATTGGGTCAAATGCCTTTGCAGTTGAACTAGAATGCCAGGTGACCATTAACCGAGATGTCAATACAACTAGAGAAGTCATGGAGTGTGCTGGTGATCTTGGCTCCCCCAGATTCAGTTCTCATCTCTATGCCTCTGATTCTCACATCTACTTACCCAGCTCCAACCTCTCTGCTGACCTCTGGGCTCATATCTCCAATCCCACCGGATGTCCTGTTCCCATCTTAAACTCAACATGTCTGAAACAAAACCTATTATTTCCTCTCTCCCATCCTCCCCATACACACCAACTCTTCCTCTTCCCAACTTTTCCATTACATTGAATGGCATCAACAGCCCTCCCAGTCACCCCGGCTCACAACGTAGGTATGCCTACATCTTCAGTGCCTCACACTCTTACCAAGTCCTCTCATTTCTACCTTTACAACTCCTCTTGTATAAATCTCCTTCTCTCCTTCAACATGGCTGCTATTACTATAATAGGGTTCTACTCTAGCTTCCTTGACTCTAATCTCTTCACATTCAGTCTGTCCTCCACTCAGCTGTTAAGTTGATCTTCTGAAATGCAGGTATGACCATGTCACCCAGTGACTCCCAATGTGGCTCCCAATTACTTCTAGGATCAAATATAAAATCCTCTACTTAGCATTCAAAGCCCTTCCTAACCTGGCCCCTTCCTAACTTTCCAGGCTTCTTACAAACCTTTATATGCCTGTCTGTACTCTGCCGTTGAATGATACTGGATTGCTTGCTGTTCCTTGCACAAGACATTCTATCTCCAGACTGAGTGCATTTTCAGTGACTTCCCCTCATGCCTTGAATTTTCTCCATCCTCATCTCTGTCTCCTGGCTTCCTTGACTTCTTAAAGGCTCAGCTAACATCTCACCTTCTATAGGAAGCCCTTCCTAATCACCCTTAATGCCTAGTGTCTTCCTGTTGACTATCTCCAATTTGTCCTGTATATATCTGGTTTATGCCTTTTTGTTGTTAACTGTTCAGTCATTTTAGTCATGCCCAATTCTTTATGATCCCATTTGGGGTTTTCTTGGCAAAGATACTAGAGTGATCTGCCATTTCCTTCTCTAGCTCATTTTATAGATGAGGAAACTGAGGCAGAGTAGTAACTTGCCTAGGGTCACACATCTAGTAAGTATCTGAGGCTGGATTTGAACTCAGGAAGATGAGTCTTCCTGACTCCAGACCCAGCCCTCTACTCACTGTGCCACTTAGCTGCCCCTGATTTATACCTAGCTATTTGCACATTTTCGTCCCTGTTAGACTGTGATCTCCTTGAAGGTTCAGAGGAATTTTTTTTTGTTTGCATTATTAACATTTTATCAAGTCTAAACAATTGATAAACCAACACATCAAATGCTAATTTTTAGTGTTTTCTGATTTCTAAGGAATAAATGCTCACACTGCAAATTGAACAATCCAGCATGCCCTGCATGGACCACATGGCCTCTCCATGGCTTAGAGATGATGGAATCATAGGACTTGGCATTGGCAAGAAGGGGCATCTTGTTATCAGTATCAATGCCATAGGGTAAAGGGAAAGGAGCATAAAGTCTAATATTAGAATTCTTGGATTCGAATCCTACCACTCAGGCTCATCTGTCAGCAGTTTTGGAGAAGTTACCACCTCCCTGGGCTTCAACGTCTTCATCTCTAACTATAAAATTGGATCAGATGGCCTCTCACCCTCTAAGACTTGAAATAAAGGAGAGCTTGGGTGAAGGCACACAGGTTTTGAGTCATGGAGGACGGAGCTCAAGATGGAGGGGCTCAATCTTCTTAGTAAAGAAGGAGGCAAAGTCATCTGCTGAGAGACAGGGGGATGGAGGTGAGCCTGAGTGCTCAGGAAGGGAGAATCGTGCTGCTCACGGGGAGGAGGGAAGGGATGACGAAGCATCCCATTCCTAAGAACGGAGAATAATTCTGGTTTTGGAGCTTCTGGAAGACGAAGAAAGAGCCACATTAAAAAAAATCTTTTCTCTCTAGGTTCCTTTCCCTGCCCAGCCAAACAATGGAAATAAACTATTTTTGTTTTACAAGAAGTATATTGATCAACATAAAGGGGCTATTGTGATTTAGGCTCAGGAGAAACATTCACTCAGATCAAGGACAGATGTTCATAATTGTATACATCTCATGGCTCCCTCGGGCAACCTGGCGAAGCCTACGATCCCCTGCTCACAATATGGTTTTAAATATGTAAACTATTACAAAGGAAAACAATTACAGTGAAATGGTTACCAAGATATTAAAACAAATTAATGGACCCCAGGTTTAGATTCCCCAATCTACACAAAGCTCTAATTGGCAAAGGCCTTGGATTCAAATTCTGCCTCATCTTTACTACTCCCTGGGTGACCTCAGGGAAGTCATGTAAACCTCATTGGCCCTTGGTTTCCTCATCTGTTAAATTAGAGATATACATGACTCCTGATTGCCTGAGAGAATGCTGGTCATGATCCAGAGGACCTGTGTAACTTTGGTTTTTGGCAGGAGAGAGAGGAAGAGAGAGCCAGCCCTCAAGGCTTCATATATAGAGAGAGGTAGCCCCATTATATCCCTTGACATGTAAGACTTACAACTCCAGAGATTTGAACTTGGGTCCTCCTGACTCCAGGGCTGATATTCTCTCTTCTTTGCCATCTAGATGTCCTTGTTCATCTTTTCTGTAGCTGGCATTTGGGTGAAAGGGCTGAGCTAGTGAGTGTAATTTAATAGCTGGAGAATCAAGAAAGTGGCTATGCTTCCGAACTCAGACACATTCCTCTGAACTAGAGATTTTTGATAGATATGTCTGGCCCAATATTCTGTCACAGAGCCTGGAGGAAAGACATCTCAGCTTTGGAAATCCTGGACCTTGCTTCCTCAACTAGTATACAGGAGGTACCCAATCTAGGTGGCTGAAGCAGGTGTCGTGGAGCACCTAGAGCTTGGTTAGACATCAAAGACACCAAGGTCATCCACTGCATCCCAGGCCATCATCAGTCGTCTTGATTTTGTCTTGCCACTGGACTTCGATGACTCTGGAAGAGAGGGGGAGGCTGACAACTTTGAGGAACTCTGCCCCACTTAAATATAATTTATGTGAAGAAAGAAAGAGAGGAAGAGAGAGGGGAAAAAGAGGGAGAGAGGGAGAGGGAGTCTCCACAGAGATGGACCAAATCTCAGATCATACCTAGCCATGCCACCCACAAGCTAAGTGTAACTCCATACTGACATGTTGCACATGGCCTATCCATACACATGTGTATCTACCCCATCCCTTTGAGGGAGGGGACTCTCACTTTTATTGGTGAGTTGCTAGGGCTTAGCCATGTGCTTGGGCCATAAGAGATGCTTAATAAATACTTATTGGTTCCGTTTCTTGAATAATACTTTGGGCTCTAGAATCCCCGAGTTAGAAGGGGCCCCTGAAACTCTACAGAACAGGTCAGATACAGCACATTTCACAGGATTCTTAAAAGGTTTTAGCTTTTTTGTTTGTTTGTGTCACAGACCCTGTTGGCAGGCAGTCTGGTGAAACCCATGGACCTCTCCTCAGAATAAGCTCTTTAAATGAAAAAATAAAATATGTAAGATTACAAAGAAGATCAACTGTATAGAAATTAAGTCATTCAAATTTTTTAAAAAATAACATTCACAGAACACAGGTTAAGATCCTTTGCATTAGAGAAAGAGGCCTGGGCTGGGCCACAGAGCTATTCAATTCCCAATCTAGAGCTGGAAAAATCAGGTTTACTAGAAAATGACCTGGATCTGCAGTAGGAGGCCCTGGCTTAGAATTCTGACTCTATCTACCTATATGACATTGGCCAAGTCACGTTAAGTATGCCTCACTGTGCCACAGTTTCCTATTAGGTAAAATTAGAAGACTAGATTCATTGACCTCTAAACTCCCTTCCAGCTCTAAACTGGAGCCTAAACTCTGCTCTCATTTGCTAGATAGGAAACTAACTTACAGGTAGAGCAGGAGTGTTTGGATTCAGACCCAGGCTCTCAAATTCCAAATCCCAGCCCTCTTTCTGTGACATCAGGACTTTCACTGTGTCCCGTGGAAAAACAAAGAGAATGTGCTGCTCACTACCTAGAGCATTGTGAGGAAGTCAGTCAATAAGCATTTATTAAGCACTTACTATGTGCCAGGCACTGTGCTAAGCACTGGGGATGCAAAGAAAGGAGCTTAAGGTCTAATGGGAAGCAACATGCAAACAGCTATGTGCAAATGAGATACACACAGGAGAAATGAAAGAATCAGTAAAGGAGACAGAGCAGGTGAGATTTTAGCTGGGATGGGAAGGAAGCCAGGGAAGCCAGAAGGCAGAGTGGTCTAGGAATGGTGGGTGGCCAGAGAAAACACCCAGAGCAGAGATGGAGCCAGGAAGCCAGTGTCATCACATCTAAGAGCGCCTGCCAGGGAGGAAGGTGTAAGAAGACTGGACAGGAGGAAGGGGCTGGGTTGTGAAGAGACTTGGATGCCAAACAGCTCCTGAAGGTGATAAGGAGCCACTGGAGTTTATTGATTAGGGAGATGATGTGGCCCAGCCGCACTATAGGAAGATCAATGACAGCTAGTGGAGAATGGAGCGGAGTAGAGAGAGACTTGAGGCAGGTAGAGACCCCCCCCAACCCCCACAGCTACAGCAATAGTCTGGGCTTGAGGGGATAGAGGTCTGGGGTGCCCCAGGGTGGAACAGCAGCATCAGAGGGCGGGAGAGGGCATATAGGAGAGATGTCACGAAGGTGAAATCAACAGGCCTTGGCAACAGATTGGATGGAGAGGTAATAGAGTGAGGAGGGGAGGAAGACACCCAGGTATCTATCCTGGAGGCCTGGGAGGATGCTTTTGCCAACTGTTCACTAACCCTAAGAGTCACAAAAATTCTGACACCGAAAATCACTGACAGAAGGCATCTGTGGTGAATTGGAAAGAACCCTGAACCAAGGGTCAGGAGGCCTGGTTTCCAGTCCCAGACTCTGCTTCTAACCAGGTGTGTACCTTGGGTAAGTCACTTCCCTTATCTCAGCCTCAGTTTCCTCCTCTGTAAAATGGGAGAGTTTAACCGGAACATAGATCTAGAGTGAGAAGAAAAGAACCATCATCTAGTCAAATGCTCTTCATTTTTACAGAGGAGGAAACTGAGACCCAGAAAGTTTCAAATACTTGCCCAAGTCTGGAAGGGAGAAAGGAAGGAAGGAAGGAAAAAAAAAGGGAGGGGGAGGAAGGGAAGGAAGCTTCAAGACAATAACAGTGCCCACCTTACAGGCTGTTATAAGGTCAAATAAGAAACATCTGTAAAGGGCTTAGCACAGTGCCTGGCACATAGGAGGAGCTTAATAAATGTTTATTCCATTCCATTAAGTTTTATTGCTCCCTTCTGCGTTTACACTACTATAGTTTCCCCTGAATTTCACCCCCATCATAAACGAATCGAATTGCTGCAAAGGAAACTATCTAAGCAAAACTCAAACACAACAGTTGTTATCTGCACATATCCCATTCCATAGCCATGGTCCCCCACCTCTCTGCTCAAAGGACGGAAGTGTCATTCATCATCCCCTCCTCAAGACTCATTGCCAACCAACTGCCCCCCCACAAAGGCAGGCGAGCCAGCCTAGACAAACTATCAAGGCATTTGGCTGGGGCCGGGATGGAAGCGACATAGGTCAAAGGGTGGGGAATTCTGTTTTGAAGAGATAAGAGACTGCAAGCGCCTTCCTGTGCTCTCCCCAGGTGGTTCCCAGAAAAATAATGGGGCCGTCCGGGATGGCTGCGAACTGGCCCGAGCTCTGAGAAGCCCGTGAGGGCTCTTGTCCCCTCCAGTTTTACTTTGAACTCAGGCAGGGGTTTATGGGCCCCTGCAATTCAGGGGGAAATTCAGGGTGGACAAAGGACCCCTCCTAGAGCCGCAGGTTCTGAGAACATGGCTGGGGAGGGGGCATTTTTAAAGAATGGGGGTAAAGGGGAGAAGGGGGAGGGGAGGAGCAGGAGTGTCATGCTCTCCCAAGAGGATGTACCTTGTCTCTAGCTGTTGAAGTGACAGTTTAACCATAAAAATGAGCTGGGAGCTCCCTCTTCATCTGGGTGGGCAGCCAGGCACTCGGTCTCCAGAGATGGGGGCTAAGACATAATCAGGGCCTGCAGCCTGAGTCACTGAGAGAATTAGGAGGCGTCCAGAGAAGAAAAGTCCCATCCATTTGCAGGCTGTAAACCCACTTCCCCTCCCCCAGCAGGAGGGGAAAGAATATTGCTTCCATCTGGGGCCTGCTCTCCATGTTGGAGAGAGTCCCCTGATTAAAGGCTCACCTTCTCCAGCATCCACAGATGGGCAGGGCCTTATCCAGTGAAAGCAGGGAACACAAGGGAGCTGTTTACAAATTCGACAGGGTAGGTATGAGGTGGGAGCATCTCGGTGGCCCAGCCGCTGTCCTGGTGCATAAAATGGAGGTCCAGGGAATGACCAGTAGGCCCTGGGAGCTGGAGGGCCTCTAGGAAGAATTCCTTTAGCTCTGTCTCTTTGAAACTGTGGAACTCCAGAGCAAGAGAGAAAGGGGCAAATGAAGGTCATCTAGTCCAAATGATTTTGTAGATGAGAAACCTGGCCCAGAAAGGGCACATAACTTGTCCAAGGTCACTTGGAACCTCAAAGTGAGAAGGCACCTCAGATGCCAGCTAATCTCATACTGTGCCAGAAAACTTCCGAATCTGAATCCTCCTCTGTCACTTGCTGTCTCTGACCAGTTCACCAATAAGTTTTAGACTTGGTTTCCTCCTCCAAAAATAGAGATAACGCTCAGGTTCATAGATTTAGAGGAAGGAGAGACCTTGACTAAGTGAAGAATAATCTCAAAAGATTCACCTCTGACAAGTAAGCAACTGGCCTCTGTTTAAAGACCTCCAGGGCTGGGGATCCTACCCAGCCCATTCCACTATGGGTCATTTCTAAGACTGAGTCTGTACATCGAAGGACTTGCAGAGGTAGAGAACTATGGTTGTGAAACATGGCTTCCATTGTCAGACTTGGGTGATACGTTGGTTAATTTTGCTGAACTCTTCTTTCTCCCTATCTTTCTTTTTTATTCCTTGTTGCAAGGGATGGTTGGCTGCTAGGTGACATAAGGACTTAGAATAAGGGGAGAACTGAATTCAAATCCTACCTTGGACAGTGGGAGCTGTGTGGCCCTACACATGTCACTTACTCTCTCTGAGACATAGTTTTCTCATCTACAAAATGAAAATAATAATAGCACCCTCCTTTGTTATTAGAACCAAATGGCATGTATCTGCCTTGCAAAACTAAAAGAATAATATAGATGCTAGCTTTTATTAATATCTATAATCATTTTCATTCTGTTTTTTTCATAATTACATGTCATTCTATTATCATTATTGCTGTTATTACTATTTTAATTGTATTATCATTTATGTTATCATTGCTATTTTTTATCATTATCATTTCCATCATGATGATGATTGTGATGATGAAGAGGAGGAGGGGGGTGGGATTTGGGACCAAGGGCTCCATTCATCCCATGGTTCTGCTCCTCGTATTTGGTCCGCCTTTCACAGGGCCACCAATCAAGCTAGTGTGCTACAAGAAGGGCATGTGAAGAAGGGCCTCTCTCAGAGGGGCTCCCTCAGCATCTCAGCCTCTGTTTACTTCCTGTTTTGTTTGGTAAGGCCGCGAGCTGGCCTTGAAACAAAAGTCCATTTTTGTGAATGCCGGGATTCTCCCAGGGAAGCCATATGGCCGAGAAGCCCAGAAAACCTCAGGCTACAGAGATGCTCACCCAAGCAGCACAGAGCGCAGCGAGCATTAAGCACATGCTCTGAGCCAGTCACCATGCTGAGTACTGGGAAAGGAGAAGAAGGGAGGGGTAGGGTAAAGGGGAAGGGGAAGGGGAAGAGAAGGGTCAATAAGGGAAGGAGAATTTATAGAGCACCTACCTGTGCCAGGCACCATGCCAAGCATGTTACAAATATTATCCCTTCTGATCCTCACAATAAGCCCATGAGGAAAGTGCTGGAAGGACCCCCATTTTACAGATGAGGTAATGATGGCTGGAAGACAGAGGCTGCGCCTTGCCTGGGATTACACTAATGAGTGACTGAAGTCACATTTAACGCAGGTCTTCCCACCTCCAGGCCTCGTGCTCTATCTACTGCTCTTCCTAGGCTGGAAGACAGAAACGAACAAAAACATGAAACAAGCCCTGCCTTCGAGGAGCTTACATTCTGTTGGAGGAGATGGCATGAACACAGAAACCATATGTAATGGAGAGGAGGTAAACACTGGGCAGGTTGTAGTCCACCCCCCTCCCCCACCCACCCACTCAGGTGAGAGGCGGTTCTGAAGGTGAGTTTCGGAGGGAACTAGCAATAACAAGGAACATAGCTGCTCTCCTGGAGGGAGGACCTAAGTGAGATCACAGATTTGGGGAGTATCCAAGACAGCGGAGAGGGCTCAGAGCTACAGCTTCAGCTCTTCCAGAGAATAGAACGGCCAAGCAGCTTGGCTTCTTTTTACCCAGCATCCTCTGATCCTCTCAGGAGATCATCAAGTCCAGCCCCCTTCATCCTCCAAATGAGGAAACAGACTCACAGAGGGAGCAGTACTTGCCCAAGTCACAAAAGTAGCAAATAGCAGAACCTGCTGGTTCCCACTTCAGGGCTCCTTCCCTCACTCCGTGCTCCAAAGCCCAGATCAACAAGGCCTCTGTCACTGTGGGCTCCTGGCCATCAGGTTGAGGCTCTGGCATCTCTAGCTTTCTCTCTGAATCCAAACACAAGCCCATAAATCTCTTTAACTCCAGGAGCCTAATTTAAAATGTGTTCTCTCAAGCTCTTGAGTGAAAGATGAATTTAGCACAAATGAAGAGTTGGATTATTGTTTATTTAAAGTCTGATCTTAGCTTCCCCAAAAAGCAGCTCCAGGTCTTCAGAGAGTAAAGACAGATGAATGATCTGGGTAAGAAAAGTTCCTAGTTAGCCATGGGAAGCATTAGGATAGAGGAAGTCATTTGCATTGTGTAATTTATTTACTATGCCAGCACGACAGAACTCCCCACTCCAGCGCTCTCTCTCCCTCTCTCCCTCTCTCTCCCTTCGCCTCCTCTTCCTCTCTCTCCATACACATACATCATTGCAAAATGTGTCAGCTCTGAGTGAGCAGGTGTTATACCAAATACTTAATACGTGTGTGATTTGGGGCAAGTCTTTTCATCTTGCTGGGTCTCCGTTTCTTTACTTATGGGGGACTGAGGTTCCTTCCAGCTCCAGCTAGATGTACCTGATTCCATAATTCGAGGATAATTTGACCAGTTTTTCTACTTTAGGAAATCTCCCCATCCATGTATCTACATGCCAACTCTGTTGGATCAGCATGAGGCGTTCCCCTCAAACAAGGAGATTAAAACATAGCTGGTAACTATGTCACTCCTGGAAACCCCCCCCCCCAAAACCAACAGGAATGCAGTGAAACAATCTAGGCTTTCATGTTGGATGCATTGAGACAAGGTGTCAATTTCTTTCAATGTTTCCCATTGTGAAGATGGACCAGGAAAGATGCATACCACCGCTTGACTTTCCCTTGCTGAGAAATGCAGCCAATATTTGTTCACCAAGAGAATACAATTGAATGGCATCCCTCCAGGTAGAAGGGTGGGACAGTAAAAGAGTCTGGGCACATGGGCCAAAAGACCTGGGTTTTCATGCCTTGTCTCTTCTACCAACTGGCTGGGTGACCTTAGGTGAGCCTAAGTTTCCTTAGCTGTAAGCTAGGGGCTTCAAAGCTGCATCTTTATTTCTGCAGCTGTGCTGCCTTTGTGTCTTTAAAATGGGAATAATAATACCTATCATCCCCACCATTCTGAGCTTGAGGAAAATATGGTTAAATGGGAAAATGTACCAAATTTTGTGCAAACTTTCAAATGCTACATAAATACCACTTCCATTTTCCAAGTGCTTTCTTGTCAACAATCCTTTGTAGTAGATAGTACAAGCATCATTATCTTCATTTTAAAAATAAAGAAACTAAGGCTCAGGGTGGTTAAATTCAATCCAACTATGATTCAATCTAACAATTTCTTAAATGGCTCCTATGTATGAAATGCTGGGCTAGGAGCTGGAGACAGACAGGTGATTCCCAGAAGCAAAAGCAGTATTTATTGGATTACTGTTCTCAGAGGCAAAGGGATAAAGCAAGGGAAAGGAGGGGGGCACCCAAATGCTGTGGCAGAGCAGATGAGGAGGAGATAACCAGGGTAGCCTGGTCTGGGAATTGGGGCCAGCTAGATAGAATAGACTCTGTGCCTCTTTATGCTGTCAGACTCTCCAAGTGGGACAACATGGCCAGTGGACTCACCAGTCAGGACAGCATGGTCAGTGTACTCACCGAATGTGACAGTATAGTCAGTGCGGACTCAACGATTGGGACAGCATGGTCAGCGGACTTACCAATTGGGACAGGATGGTCAGTGTACTCAGCAATCGGGACAGCATGGTCAGTGGACTCACCGATCGGGACAGCATGGTCAGTGGACTCACCGATCGGGACAGCATGGTCAGCGCACTTACCAATTGGGACAGGATGGTCAGTGGACTCACCAAGTGGGACCGAATGGTGCTGGAGCTGTATGGATTAAGTCAACTAGGGCAGTGACTCAAGAGGTCCAATAAACCAAAGACAGCACTGATAGAATCAAGAGGAAGGAGTTTGCAGGGATGGATGGTTCAAGGGCTGCAAAACAATCTGTGAGCCTAGGTCCTGTGATTCCAGAACCAGAGTCAAAAGACCTAGATTTGAATTCCGGATCTACAATTTGTTAGCTGCATGACTTTGGTCCAGTCTCTAATCTCTCTGGGCCTCAGTTTCCTCACTAGAAAAATAGCAATGATGCTCTCAGTATTAAGGTACTGGATGGTACCATAAATCAATCAATCAGCGAACATTTATTAAGCACCTACTATATTCCAGGGTCTGTACTAAGTATTGGGATGAGCTGGATTTGGAATCAGGAGATCCCCAAGTTGGAATCCAGTCTCTGCCTTTCACTTGCTTAGCCCAGGGCTGACACATAGTAGGTGCTTAATAAATGTTTATCCTATGGTATCGTAACTGAGTTATCTTAGGCAATTCATTTAATTTTTCTTAGCTTTCCTAGATTCATCTGAAGAATGGAGATAATTCCAGCTCTGCCTACTTGACCCAGTGATTGTGGGGAAATTGCTTAGTAAAGATTAGAAGCCCTTAGTAAATGAGTCACTAATACTACCCTTCCAGGACCCTTATTAAGCACCTACTATGTGCCAGGTCTTTTGATCTCAAAGAAAGGCTGTCACTTTTGCCCAGGAAGGGCTAGGAGGGTGGTATGGGAAGTAAAACTGAGTTTTCTTAGGAAGTTACAATTCTGGACTGGTGAGAAACAGAGTGGGAAGAGTCCTGGACTTGCCCTCAGAAGGACTGAGCTTGGGTCCTTAGTGATTCTATGCCATACAGAACTCCTGGTTCTGGCTTTTACTACCTTAGACTGTGAGTTCCTTAAGAGCAGGGACCCTCTTTTGTCTTTCTTTCTATCCCTAGGGATAATCACAGTGCCTGGCACATAGTAGGTGCTTGTTAAATGCTAGTTTATAAATGCCCAGAGGAGTTAGGTGATACAGGGGATAGAGTGCTCACAACAATAAAATAAATTTTATTGATTTACTAGCCGATGCATCAGTGGATTTGTGATCTCCTTCATGTGATTATGCCCTCCATTAGTGCAGATTGCTAGCTTCCTGCCTCTTGTCAGTCTTCTGTGGGGGTTGGCCCATCCAATTTGGACCATCTTAGAAATCTCTTGACTTAAAGGGTTATCAGTGTCTCATCGAGGCTATCATCCATCTGTTAGGGCTGACTTCCACTACATGACCAGCTCACCTCCTTTCCATACAATTCAATTCACCTTGATAAGCATTTATTAAGCACTAACTGTATGCTACACACTATACCAGACACAGGGGTTACAAAAATAAACATGGAGCCTCTCCCCTCAAGAAGCTTACATTCTCCCTGACAGATACATGTAGATAAGAAGAGAAATGCTAATGTGCAAAGTAATACAATAGAATTAAAGAGGGAGGGAGTCGTAATAACTGGCAGGATCAAGAAGGGCTTCCTGGAGGAGGTAGCACCTGAACTGTGCTTTGATGGAAATGGGGGGGTTTACAGGACAGGGATGAGGATGTTCGAGACATGGATGACCACTTGTGCCAAAACATGGCAGCCACAGGTGGAAGGAATGTTGTACATGGGGAATAAATGTGTAGCAGTCCAGTTTGACTACAATAGAGAGCACAGGAGAGGAAGTCATACAAAATGCAAGTTAAGATTTGGAAAATTGGTAGGAACCAAATACCAGGCTAAGGATTTTGTGTTTCCTCCCAGAAGGCGCAAGAAGCAACTGAATTTTTTTTAGATGGATCTGGAATGTGTTTTAGGATTGTCAGCTCAGCAGCTGTGTAGAGAATGGAGTGAAAAGCAGGATGACTGGGGACCAACGACATCGATCAGCAAGCTCCTACCACAGTCACGGGAAGGGGTGACAGTGAGAACAACGGAGATGGGAACTAGATTTATTACAGCACCTTGAAGGTTTGCAGAGCACCTCTTGGACAAATATGGCCTCATTTTATCTTCACAACATCCCTCGGAGGAAGGTGCTATTATTATGACATCCATTTGATAGATAAGAGGCACCGAGCTAAAGTATCGGTTGTAGAGAGGAGATGGCCATAAGAGCTCTTCTGGAGGCATGATCAACAAGATTTATTGACTGACTGGATATGGGGAGTTGAGGGAGAAGAAAGTGTCAAGGATGACTCAATGATAGAATGATGGTACTATCAACGGCAATGGAGACATTGGGAAGAGTTGGGGGTTGGGAAGGAAATATAATGAGTACTATATGGTGCGTTGTTGTCGTTGAGTCGTTTCACTCATGTCTAACTTTTCATGACCATATCTGGGGTTTTCTTGGCAAAAATATTGAAATGGTTTGCCATGTCCTTCACCAGCTCATTTTACATATGAGGAAACTGAGGCAGACAGGGTTAAGTGTCTTACACAGAGTCACACAGCTGGTGTCTGAGACCAGATTTGAACTCGTGAAGATGAGTCTTCCTGATTCCAAGCCCAGTGCTCTATCCGCTGTGCTACCTGACTGCCCTCACGTACTATCTGAGGTATGTAGAATTTGGAATTTCTATGGGATAGCCGTATAGAGATGTCCAGTAGGCAACTGGCCATGTGGAAGATGACAAAGCTGACAGCTAGATATGAAGATTTGGGAGTCATTTGCATAAAGATGACGATTGGACCCATGAGAACTAGTGAGATCACCAAAAGGAAGACTCGAGAAAGATGAGGCTTAGGACAGAGCTTTGGGGAGGCCCACATTTGTTGGGCAGAAAGAGGATTTTCCAGCAAAAGAGGCCAAGAGTCTATACAAGTAGGAGGAGCAGTAGGAGAAAATGGTGTCACAAAAGCCAAGGCACCAAGTGTCATGGAGGAGGGGGTTGTCAACAGTGTCAAATGCTAGTGAGTGGCCAAGAGGGATGAGAACTGAGAAGAGTCCTTTGGATTAAGTACATAAGAGATCACTGGTAACCTTGGGAGCATGATGTCAGTTGAGTAGTGGGGATTGGTAGCTAGATTTCTAGGTTCTGAGGAATGGATGGGAGGTGAAGGAAAGGAGGCAATGTTTCCTTTTTTAATACATTTTTGTTCATTTCATTAAATATTTCCCAGTTACATGTAAAAAAATGTAACATTTGTTTTTAAAAATTTTGTGTTCCAAATGTTCTCCTTCCCTTCCCTCCCCTACCCCTTGAAGGCAAGCAATATTATATCAACAGTACATGTGACATCAACCAAAACTTACTTCTATATTAGCCATGTTACAAAAGGACACACACACACACACGCACACGAGAAATAAAGAAAGTTTTAAAAAAAGTGTGCTTCCATCTACCTCAGAGTTCATCAGTTCTCTCTCTGGAGATGGAGGACATTTTCCATCATGACTCCTTTAGAATTATATAGTATAGCATAATAATAGTATACTTTTTAATAGTATATTTTATGCTCCATCTCTTCTGCAATGCTTGATTGGCAATATGTCACCAGTTCCATCGACTTAAAGACTGTCCTTCTTTCCATGCTTGTAATATACCCTGACCAGTGACAGCCCCTCAGGTATCCAGGGAACACTTTACCTTTCTTTTCTCACTCTTCATTCTTTCTTTGCATCTGGCTCATAGCATGTATTCCTGCCAAGGTTTCCTGGACAAGTCTGGGACCAGAATTGACGTCCGAATCTACAGTGAGCAGAAGCCAACATCCTCTCATTTTCAGAAGCCAAAGGGAAAGAATGTGTCCACCCTCCCAGTGCTTCCGTGTTGATCCACCGCACTGACAGGAGCAATGAACTGCCCCTCCCTGAGCATGGCCATAAGCCCCCAGTGTAAAGAAAGAATAGATCCACATAAACCTCAACACTCATAACAGCTCTTTTTGTGGTAGCAAAAGACTGAAAACAATGTGGATGCCCATCAACGGGAGGCATAACTCAATAAGCTGTGGTGTGTGTAAGTGTATGTACTGGAATATTGTTATCTGGCAAGAAATGACAAACACAAGAATTCAGAGAAACATTATGGACGACTGCAGTCAAGTGAAGGAAACAGAACCAGAACCGTACAGAAGCTACAATCATGTAAATGAAAAGAATGCTTAAAGGAAGAAATGGTACTCTGAGTAACTGTGATAACCAATTTTGGTCCCAGGGGACATATAAAGATCCCTAGAGGAGGGGAACTATGGGGGCCAAATGCTGCACACTCTGTCAGACATGGTCATTGTATCTATTGTATTTCCCTAACTGGTTTTCTTTGTTTCAATGAAGGCTTTAACTCTAGAGGAAAAGGTGCAGTGGGGAGGGGTGAGTGCAGAAATGATGACCAAATTTAAAAAAGTGTGAATGAATCTTAATTTAAAATAATATTATTTCTTTATTGCAAAATGAAATGCAGTTGAATCACAGGCTTGGACTAGATGGTCTTTAGCATTCTTCCCTGGGGTGGCTAGGTAGTACAGAGCATAAAGGACTGGATCTGAAATCAGGAAGACCTGAGTTCAAATCCAGTCTCAGACACTTATGTGTGGTGTGACTTTGTACAAGTCATTTCATCTCTGTATGACTCAGTTTCCTCATTTGCAAAATGGGAATAATAATAGCTCCTACCTCCCTGAGTTGTTGTGAGGATTAAATTATATTCTATTTGTCTTTAACACCATACACACACACACACACATACACACACACACACACACACACATACACACACACACACACACATATATATATATATATATATGTATATATATATATATATATATATATATATAATTGTTCACTGTTATTATTATTAATAAATCCCAGGGATGTTTTTGTTAGATATCTTTTGACTACCAATTCCTCCAAATTTTTCTGGCTCATATTTAGAATTCAGAATTCAAACCTGAATCCTCATCTCTTCTAATTTCTCATGGAGGAAATTATCAGCAAGGAAAGCCAAGAATTTATCAGCTGCTCTGAAGTCTCTCCTCACAACCATATTCTACTTCCGTGTTATATGTGTGATCTGATTATCAACCGTTCCTCCTCCTGGCTGAGAAGTCTATGGTCGACTCCTACCACAATATCCTTACTGTTTCTCTCTCCTTTGATCTTTATACACTTCCCCACACTTACCCTAAAGTCTTGCATTTCCACAGAGGATTATATCTTTTTGATATATTGCATCAACCATTTTATCTAACTGGTTCCTTTTGAATACACTGTGTCTTTCTATGTCCAAATTCCAGTATGTGTTATCTCACACCAAGTCTTGATGATATATCTGAAGTCATGTTTATCTCCAGACTTTGATACTTCTAGTTTATTTGATTTACGACCCATACTCTGTTCTTGTCACTGAATCACACAATCTTGGAGTTGGGAGAAACTTCAGAGATGAAGCTCAACAGAAATTTCCTCTACAGAAATCCCAACAAGTGGACATCTTGACTCTATTGGAAAGTCTCCAATGTAAAGGATCCTACCAGCTCTCAATGTAGCCAGTATGGTGGGTCTAATTGTTCTGCTCACTGGGACCAAGCAGAATGTCTAGCCTCCTTCAAATACTTAAAAATGACTCTCCCTCCAAACACACCCAACACCTTGCCCTACCACCAGGACTTTTCTACTTCAGCTTAAACATGTCCAATTCTCTTGTCCTACAACATGGTCTCGATTCATCTCACTACCATGGCTCCCTTCTTCTAGGCCTGCACTACTTGGTCAACATCCTCCCCATAACAGAGAAACCCAGGTAGGAATCATGAAAAGTGGCCCTGCCCAAAGAGCTTTGCAACTGTAATGACAAAGAAAAGAAGCAGGTAGCTGTGCACTCTTCCACCCAGCATGCACTTGCCTCCCCCTCCTTCCAGGTGCAGCACCTCCTCTCTCTCTCTCTCTCTCTCTCTCTCTCTCTCTCTCTCTCTCTCTCTCTCTTTCTTAAGGGTTTAAACTTGCCACTTCAAAGGTCACCATGGACGATGATATTGCGACTCTCCTTGTTGACAATGGTTCTGGAATGTGCAAAGCTGGCTTTGCAGGAGACCATGCCCCTCGGGCTGTCTTCTCATCCATTGTTGGGCACCCCAGACATAAGGGTGTGATGGTGGGGATGGGCCAGAAAGACATGGGGGATGAGGCCCAGAGCAAGAGAAGTATTCTGACCCTGAAGTACCCCATTGAACACAGTATTGTCACCAGCTGGGATGACATGGAGAAGATCTGGCATCAGACTTTCTACAGTGAGCTCTGTGTGGCTCCTGAATATCACCCTGTGCTGCTCATAGAAGCCCTCTGAACCCCAAAACCAACAGAGAAAAGATGACTCAGATTATGTTTGAGACCTTCAACACCCTAGCTGTGTACATTGCCATCCAGGCCGTGCTGTTCCTGCATGCCTCTGGTTGTGTCACTGGTATTGTGGTGGACTCCGGTGATGGTGTGACCCACACTGTGCCCATCTATGAAGGTTATGCCCTTCCTCATGCCATTCTCCATCTGGATCTGGATGACTGTGATTAGATGGACTACCTCACGAAGATCCTGACCGAGAGAGGGTACAGGTTCACTCCCACAGCTGAGAGGGAAATTGTGTGTGACATTAAGGAGAAGCCCTAGACTTTCAGCAGGAGATGGCCACTGCTGCATCTAGCTCCTCTCTGGAAAATAGCTATGAGTTCCCTGATGGTCAGGTTATCACCATCGGCAATGAGAGGTTCCAATGCCCAGAAGCTCTCTTCCAGCCATCTTTCTTAGGCGTGGAATCCAGTGGAATCCACGAAACTACCTTCAACTCAGTCATGAAGTGTGATGCTGACATCCATAAGGGTTTGTATGCCAATACTGTATTGTCTGATGGTACCACCACTTACCTCAGCATCGCTGACAGGATGCAGGAGATTACAGCCCTAGCGCCCAGCACGATGAGAGTCCAGATCATTGCCCCACCTGAGAACATATACTCTGTCTGCATTGGAGGCTCCATCCTGGTGTCTCTTTCCACCTTCCAGCAGATGTGGATCAGCAAGCAGGAGTAAGTTAAATCTGGGCCCTCCGTTGTCCACTGAAAATGCTCCTAAATGGACTGTTTGTGTTTTGTTTTTTTAAATTTTGTGGGTTTTTTTTTTTGTCAAAGGCTGTGACATGATAATCGCCCCCCCCAAAAAAAGAGATGAGATTAACATGGCTTTATTTGTTTTTTATTTTTATTTTATTTTATTTTGTTTTTATTATTATTATTATTATTATTTTTTAGGCTTGACTCAGGATTTAAAAACTGGACCAGTGAAGGTTATGAGCAGTCTAAGTATGCTGGAAGCAAACATCCCCAAAATTCTACAGTGTGTCTTTAGAACTCTGATTGTACATTTTTAAACATAATTATTCCAAATATTGCATAATGTATTGTTACAGAGTTAACAAGCCTTCCTGAAGGCTGTCCTCTACTAGAGCAAAAGAGCTAAGTAACAAAATTCCAGATGGGGAGGGGGGGAGGAGGAGGAGGGAGGGTACTAGCACTGCTTTACACGTAAATTATGTAGTCCTTTAAAAAAACTGTGTACTTGTTCCTTTTTTTTGTCAGCCATAATGAATGGCCCCCTAAATTCCCTCCCTGCCCCCAACATAGATGTGAATGAAGGCTTTACAATCTCCCTGAGAGTTCTATGAGATTGATGCCAGTACTTGGGGGAAGGAGGAGCTTTACCTGTACACTGTTCAAAGAAAAGTGCACATGTTAAAGGAAAAAAGAAGAAGTTCGGTGGGGTAGTGGGTGAGCAGAGATAGTAATATGGAGCCCAACATGTGGGTGAGACTTTCAGGGGAAAAAGGACCCAGAAAGAATGGTTATCAGTATGGAGACAACTTGCTTTTTGCCCCCTAAACATTGTATTGACTAAATTTTGAAGACTTTCATATCAATCTTATGGCCATTGGGCATAAGCGGGCTAAGGGGCAGGAAGTGAATCTCGGGATGAAAAGTGGAAGGCATTGCCAGAATAAATTGTGGACCTAAACTGAGGCAGCAGAAAAGCAATGGTGAAGGGAGCTGACCAGTGTCTCATCCGGCCTAGCCACGTGACTCCAAGAGCAGCCACAGCCTTTCACCTTCCCCCTCCCCGATCCACAAGGTAGAGATTTGCCCCTAAGCCCTAAAACTTTGATTCTTTGACCTCTTAGGTCCTGGTTTGCTGACTGAACCAAAAGGGCTTTTGGCAAGAAGGGCCGTGGGTGCCTGGGGCCTTTCATGTATTGGGCTTTTTCCTTCGTCATGTAATAGCTAGCATTGGTATAGCACTTGAAGGTTTGCATAGTACTTTACAAGTATCGTCTCATTTGATTCTCATAGCAACTCTGGGAGGTAGGTGGTATTCTTAGCCCCATTTTACAGAAGAGAAAACTGAGGCAGACAGAGGTTAAGGGATGTGCCTGGGGTCAGATAGCTAGTGTCTGAGGCAGTTTTTGAACTCAGATCTTATTGACTCCCAAGCCCAACATGTCTCAACTGCTTTTTACTATTTCCTTTAAAGAGCCGTGTACAGTTTGTGCACATGACTTCAACTGTAATGCAGCCGGATGGGAAGAGGAGCAGAGGCTGGGTTGTTGGTTTGTTGGTTTGTTTTTAAATAGGATGGAGGCTGAGCCATAAGGATCTGATTGGATGAATCCCTCAGCCCAATGAGATGTGCTTGGCCAACCACACTGAGGCAGAGCTAAGGACCAGAGGTAGCCAGCTCTCTGAAAGCCACAGACAGCTCAATGTCACACAGGACCGCCAAAGACAGCTCAATGCTACGTGGGACTGCCAAAGACAGCTCAATGTTACATGGGTGTTGGAATAGCACATAATCACTAGGGATGAGCATGTAACTCATAGAGTCTAGGTCTCACCATTGAACAGGATTAAGGTGTTGAGCAGGTGATTAGCTGCCAAGCTATGGAGTCAGGAAAACTCATCTTCATGAGTTCAAATCTGGCCTCAGACACTTACCAGCTATGTGACTCTGGGCAAATCACTTAACCCTATCTGCTTCAGCTCCTCATTTGTAAAATGAGCTGGAAAAGGAAATAGCAAACCACTCCAGTATCTTTGCCAAGAAAATCACAAATGGGGTCCCAGAGAGTCAGACACAAGTGAAATGTGACTGAACAACAACATGAGCTTCCCTGGTGATTAAATTCCTGAAGTGATACTTCTGAACTGATCATAATGCTCTAGATGTGGTCTGACCAGGCCAGAGTACAGCAGAACTCCCCCCTCCCTCTGATAAAGTGTGTCTAGACCTCGACGGCCCGAAGGATTCACCACCTTTATTCCTGAGTGGCATCTACTGTAAATTTCTGACACCTGCATTAGTGTCCTCTGATGCTGTACCTACTCCTCCGTCTCTTACAATTCAGGATTTGTGTGCAAGCGGCATCCTCCCCTTCCATTCAGCTTCAGTTTAAAGCCATCTGCTCACATCCACATTCTTAAGGCCTGAATCT